GGCTCCGGGCACCCTCTCGCCTCCCCAGACTTTATTCTCAGGCGCTGCGACCTTGGTGCTTGCAGTGAAGCTGCGGGATCCCCGGGAGCCAGGGTTCTGCTTTGCACTTCCTAACCTAAAAGCTGCACTTGTGCTTCCTGCGTTGACCCAGTGCAGTGGGTCGCTGTGCTGCATTCTGCAAAGGGAGGTCGGAAAGGTAGAAGAAATCCCAGAATTGGATGAAATATCTTGCTCCGCCGGTGACTCACTGGGTGACCTTGAGTTAGCCACTTAATCTCCAACTACTGCAGCTATTGCGCTTCAGTATGACCCTGGTTTGTAAAGCACCGTGATAACCTCCAAGGAGAAGTGCTAGATAAGTGTGAAGTAGGCTATTTTTTTCCCAAGTTCTGCTGAAACAAGGCGGAGGGTAGCCTGAATCTTCTAGAGACCTGAAACCTCTCTGTGCCAGATTTCATCAAATCACAAGCATTTCTCTAGTAACTCAAAAATCTGAACTCAGGGCCATTCCTTGTCTTGTGAAATGGGAACAGTGGAGTTCTTGCTCAGGCAGTAATGTTACACTTATTTCTCCCAGTCCTTTTGCATCCAGATTTGCTCAGCACCTGCGATCTGTGAAATAAAATGCGGGCACTAAGTAGATGCTTTGGGTTCTCCTTCCACCCCATCCCAAGCTGATGGGTGCAGGAAAGGCAGCACAGGGGTGAGCTGACCCCAGTGCTCCCTCCACATTACAGGTCATGGATGAGTGAGAAATGCAACTTCTGAAGCTCAGTCAGGTCCCTGTTAGCAATCTGGGGGCTGCTGAAAGAGAGGAGAAGGAAAGTCACCAGCATGAGAAACCCCACAGCTCTGCTGCTCTGCCCAGCATTGCCCCATTGCTCACCAGTGAGAGGAGAGCCAGGCAGAGTGCTGATATGCAGGGAGGGAAAATGCTCCATGTTGGAGGCAAACAACCAGATCCTGTTCCCAGCTCTGCCCCAATTCACAACTTTCCTTTTGTTGCCTTTCCTTTTGTCTTGAGGTTTTGGGGTTGGGGTGGGTTTTTTTAACACATGCAGAACATTTAATCTTGTTGCACTGCTATTTTTTGGAAAAAATTGAATGTATCCTTTCCGTAAAACCTAACCTCACTCATACTCTGCCCACTGCAGTAGCTGTAAGAGCTGAAGTAAGTAGCTTGTGTAAATGTGGCAGAGAA